GCCGGCACCGGCCACCTACCTGGTCGCCCAACCTATATTGCCTATAGGAGGGGAGGGGGATAGGGAGTAGCAGTAGCCAGTAGGCAGTGTAGCACTGCGGCTCCTCCTACTACTACCACCGCACCTCCAACCCCCATCCTATACCAATCCGCCGCAGGTCTCACCCGTCACTGCAGGGAGCTCTCGCTTCGTCTCTCCCCCTCAGGTGATGCATCCTTTTGTTGCAGGGGCGATTTTACATTGTCTTTTGTGTGGTCGATTGCTGATCTTTCTTGGTGGTGCTGCTGCAGGAGTGGCAGATCTGTTGGCGCGATCCCCAGCTTGGATCTTGATGATTTGGTGACTTGAGTGGCCGATTTTCTTCGACCAAACTGGTATGCGCTCACATCGTTTTTATGCGCCCATTCGTTTCGATTTGTGGGTACTGCGGGCTGATTCGATTCGTTAGGGGACTCGGGGGTAGAGAGAGTGACGACTGAAGGGGGTTTCTGTTGGGGGTTTAGTGCTGCGGCTTGCAATGTGTCTTCTTACCTTATTTCTAGTGCTCTAGCTAGTAACATTTGTTGTTGCAATTTGTGGCTAATCTGCAAAAGGAAGGGGAAAAGAGGTTTTGTTTCAACCCAGCTCCTGATATAATTTAAGAAGCATTTTGGGCCTTTGCTCCTGTTTCCAAACTGCAGTTTTACAGTGTCACTCACAGTAAGAGTCCATGTTATACATAGGATCGTTGGTCCATTTTTTTTCAAGTCATTCAAGAACTCAATATATGGAAAACTTCCGTTTTTTTAATCAGGGAAACAAGAACAGATGTTTCGTTGTCTATGGTACACATTGCATTACGACTGAAGTACTGAACTATTGGCGGCTGCCTGGTCCCCTGGCAGTGTGTGCATATTTGCATCAATCCGTCCTTTAAAGTTTTTGGGTGTCTTTTTTATCATTAGTGGGAGCCCTTCTTTTATTAAATTTTCTATATCTTGCACGCTTATTGACATGTCCTCATAAGAACATTATTGTGCCAAAAGCTGTCGGTGGCAAGCCCCTGGTTACTGCAGACATGTAGAAACAGCATAAACCATACATACAGGATTTTTGGGAGACAGAATGATGTGATCTATGGTGCATTCTTAGTTCTTAATTAATTTAATATAATACAGTAATGAATAATAGTTCTACTGCCTGCTACTTTACTTTTTGAAGGGAAGCCTGCTACTTTCTGGCTTTTGACTAATTGCAGTGAACTTGTAGTAGCCTAGTAGGAATTATATATCTGATAATTTTTTGGCCTATCTTTTGCATTTTCAGGTTTTTGGGAAGTGCGGTTTTCTCAATCTCTGTTTGAACCACAGCATACTCAACTGAATCAAGTGATAATTGTGTTTTGGCCATACACAGAGATATATCTGAAACTTCTGCTTCATATGTTCACCCATCATAAAGATGCCAACCAAAGGGCAGATTAACAGTGAAAGGAACGTGAAGATCATATCAGGTCGTGATGGGCAAAAGAAGGGAAATTCACAGCATGACCAAATTGTACACGTGCCAAATGACATGGTCACAGCAGTCAATGGAAATGTAGATGGAAAATTTGAAGATAAAGTTAGAGTTGTGAAGAATGATAAGTTCCGAAGACAGCGAGAGTCTTGGGGTGGGGAAAGGGCCGCATGCATGAAGGGCTCAAAACCATGGCCTGGTCGAAAGGCAACTACTGTTGATGAACTTGTCAAACATATGTCAAATGTTCCTTCATATTTACAGCGTAAAGAAACTTCTGAACATCTTCAAGACAAGGCACTGAATGTTGGAGTTCTTGAGTGGGGTCTTCTTGCTAACTGGTCTCAGCAACAAAAGCATGAGCTCGCTAGAAGCCATGGAGCATCTCCATCTCCATCCAATACTAGCAGGTCTGTACTATTCTCATCTCCATCACATTCTTCTGCAAGCCCCAGCCGCAGATCCCTTGAGAGTAATCAATCTACCCCAATGAGTGACCATCATCATTCATCCATCAGAGCCCAGCAGAGTAGGCTCGCAGATAAACACCATGGGAAGGCCAGATGTTCGCCTAGCCCAAATTCTGCGGTATTGAGCTTATTGCCAGGTCATGGCGCACATCCCTGCCCAGAGAACGGTCGTAAATATGTTGACTTGGGTCTCAGCAATGTTTCTTTAGCCTCAGACTCTCTAGGTTCTTCCTCTAGAAGACATGAAATGGTTGAAGATGAAGAGACTAGATGGAAGATTGAAGATGTTGTGCATCATTGTTCTCGTAGGCTTTTTACTGACAGCGATAACATTGGGAAACATTTCTTCACATCAAATAACAACGATTCCATGTGTAATGATCCTGAACAGAGCAGTGGCTTGAATGGTGAAAATTTTGAGTCACTAATATCTGATGCTGTGATGGACACAGCTAGAAGTGGCAGTAGGTCACCTGATTTTTTCTTGGAGGATATTGAGCCATCACTTGAATTTCCTCGAGTCCCATATTCATGTCCACTTCCCATCATAGACTCAGCAGCTAAAGAGATTGGCACCACTAGCACTGAGGCTGGAGATAATTTTGTTGGTACAGCTGCAAAAGTAAATAAGAATTCTAACCGAAACCAATCTGCCATGAATGTCACTGAGAATCCTCCACGATGTTCTGCAAAGTTTAGTGATAGGATGCCTGATCGCCATATAGGTTCTGGGATGAATCGAGTGAGCCGCAGCTCTAGCCTCAAGGAGTCACCACATGCTCGACAACCCAATGTAGTTCCTCCTGTCGATAAGACAGGAGACAGGTCATCACCCAACAGCAAAGGTAGGCGAAGCCCATTGAGGAGGATGTTGGATCCAATATTAAAGCCAAGACATTCTAGTCCATTACACCCTTCATTTGTTCCGAAGTGTCATCTTCCAGTCAATACCACCAAGCAGTCTATGGACTTGGGGGGATCAGTGCCACAGAATGTGCAGCGAAGGTCAGTTGATTTGGTAGTCAATTCGAATTATCCGATCGAAGCAAATATAAATCAGCCTCCTCGTGTGCTATTGAACACTGCAAGATACACCCAGAAAGAAAAGGATTCAGCAACAACAAGGCAAGCACTTCTGCAGCTAGCATGGAAGAATGGCTTGCCTTTATTCATGCTGTCTTATGGTGATTCGGATATCCTGGCAGCCACTGTTAGAAGGAAGGGCATCTCTGAAAAGGATGATCTGGAAAGCACATATGCTGTATTCACTGTTGAAGAACCTAAGAAAAAAAGTGGAGCTTGGATCAAGGCAGGGGGCAAGAACAAGAAACATCACCTTTTATCTAGCATAGTTGGGGAAATAAAGGTTGCACGTCGAAAATCAAGATGCCACCATACAGCAGATGTTCATGTACACAGGGAATTTGTGTTGGTTGGTTCTGAATTTCTACCATCATCTGAAGAATCAGGTGATTCACATGTTAGTGGAGAGCTTGCAGCTTTTATCAGCGCACTTCCTCAGCAAGAAGCAGAAACCTCAAATCAATCATCTTCACAGAATACCAGACAAAGAAATTCAGCACCAATTGGCTGTGGTTGCCCCCCACTGGGAAACTTCCAGCCTAGTAAGAGAAATGCTAATTCTGCTTCAGCCAAAGTTATTGCAGTACTTCCTGATGGCTTCCATGGCACATCAACATCTGGGCAGCCATTGCCTTTGATTGAGAGGTGGAAGTCAGGAGGAGCTTGTGACTGTGGTGGATGGGATGAAGGTTGCATGCTGAGTGTCCTCACTGATGCGGCCCAAGAAAATGATGCCATTCAGGCTAACCAGGCAAATGATGGCAGCCAGCGATTTGAGCTTCTAGTTCAGGTCTGCCCTAGTTTTATTCCTTCTCCTCCCCAGCCCCCCCCCCCAACACACACACACACACACTTCGCCTATGTCCAGAATTTGACCTCTGTTATTATCAAACAAATAAACTGATGCTAACTTGTATTTGCAGGGTCGATCGCGAGAAGATAGGCATGCCTTCAGTATGACTTCCTTCAAAGAGGGGCTTTATACAGTGGAATTCAGATCATCCATTGCATTACTTCAAGCTTTTGCAATGTGTATAGTGATGCTCCATGGGAGGTACCCTAGCAGGATGCAAGTTGGTTCGCAAGCAGCGCAGGAGCATGATCTCCTTGCTGGTCATGAGCTCAAGGCCATGGCAGCCAGTCAAGGAAGAGCTGCGACCAGCTATGTGCCCCACCGGCCACCTCTTTCTCCTGTAGGCCGAGCCTAGCTTATCGTGATTAAATGTATGTTCTTTCTGTGTCTGTCCTCTTCAGTTGCGTAGTGCTGGTGGGATTGATATACCATGGACCTCAGGTCCATATGCAATACGCTTATCCAAAGTGACAATCTCTGCACAATCGGCTTTAGAGGTAGCTACCTGTACATGTTATGATGTTGATGTTGTATGACTGTACTACGATGTGGCTGCAAGGCCCATCTCAGTGCTTAGTTACCCATTATATGTTCTCGTATCAGTCGCTTCTGTATATGCTGAAAATCTGAAATGCACCTGCAATCTGTTGCAACCCTTGTTTAAAGTGTGTTTTGCATTGCATCAGCAGCAACATTTGTGCTACTGCTGAACTTATATATTCTGGATGTCTGCAACAACTGTGATGCGGCTTCAAAGTTGTTCTATCAGAGAGATGAATAGCTGAAGCATATGAGCAGAAACAAAGTATTACGTACTCTAGTATTGTGACTGGACAGAACTGGGATGTTCTTTCAGATTTACAGGGACTACTAGTTCATTAGAATTTACAACACAGCTACGCGGAATATCTAGTTCGGATTACTCACTACTTCTGGCCTCAATTCTAGCTGAGGTAAATCCACACCTCTCGAAGCGGGAAAAAAAGTCTCAACCTGCAATATATTTACAGATCTTACGACAAGTATGATCTTACAGTAACAAGTGTCACGTATACATGCTCTTCACTGAGCACTGCAAGTACGTACGTCACGAGTAGTCATGACCTCGCGATGAGCGAGTCCGAGTCGTCCATGTTCACGGCAGCCACCTGCGAGGGCCCGACGCGCACGGTCACCGCCGGTATCCTTATCGGCGGTGGTCGCGCGTCGGCCTTGACGATGGCGACGTCCTGGCTCTCCTTGCCCTCCCTGAGGTCGCTGGGCGGCAGGAAGCAGTCCATGGACAGGCCCCAGATGTTGAAGTCCACCTCCTCGATGTTCCACGTCTCCTCCATGCGCGTCCTGGTGTTGCCGTCTTGGCAGTCACCGAACCTGACGAGCGAGACGGCGGTGCGGCCGGCGTGGGCGATGTTCACGCCGTCGACGGCGCGGTAGTCGCCGAGGCGGGACTCCATGGTGGTCTCCCAGAAGACGCTCCCACCGACGCCGCCGCTGGACTTGATCTGCAGCAGGTGCGAGTCCTCGAGCTGCACCAGCAGGCCTGTGCGCTGGCTGAAGTAGCCCCACACCGTGTGCCGGATGATCTCGACGCTGCTGCTGTTGCGCGCGCGCAGGCTGGACGCCTCCGCCTCCACCTTGAGCACGAAGCAGTCCTCGCCGTCGATGCTCCGCTCGCCGATGCACACCGAGTCCGCGAACAGGCTCGCCGTCAGCTGCGGATCGAGGCCCTGCATGTCAATACAACGTAAACGTTCGGTCAGCGTGCCGGTGTCGGTCGATTCCGATTGCAGTAATAAAATGCAAACGTGGTGCTAACACCGAGCAGCATTAGTAAAGGCGAGTGGTGTCGGGTACGCAAACAAGTTGTAGTTGACTCGCTGGTCAAATGGCCGAGCAGGTTGGTGCAGCGCGATTAGCGGGGAGAGTCGGGTGGACCGGCTTCTGCTGACAGGCCGCGCGCCACCAACCGATTGATGTGGCGCGCGAGGGTCTCATCTCATCTCAGCAGGCCCAGGTCCACGTGATGTGTCCGGCCGCGCCCGCGCACATGGCCGCACGTTGGGGTGCTAAGGACCAGGGCCGGCCGGCCGAGGCCGACCCCTAACCACGCTAGCCCGCGGCGCTAAGCGCCTACGCGTGTGTGTATCCTCTGCGCAGCTGCTGTTGCGCTAATTCCAGACCCCTCCCGCTCCCGGGCGGCGACAGGATGTCGCCACGGCCAACGATGACGAGTGAGTCTCCGAGTTTGTGTGTACCGACCGGCGCCTAAATCTCACGATCATGATGAGCGAAACCACTCGGCCTTATCCCCCGACACTGGCCTCGGTGATATTATTCCGGAGATCGGCGAGTGCTGAAAAGGCCTCATGATATCTCTGGTCCGCGTGGGCGTTCGATCTGTCTGCTCTGTCCTGCCGACAGTATATGCAGCGGAGATCGACATGCCCTGACACAGACATCTATCTACGCGATGATGAGTTTGTCCTGTCACTGGGACTGGAGTGGAGGTGTACATGCTACGTGCCATGGCATCATGTCCGTTGCAATGTCCAGCAGCTCTAGCCTCTAGGAATGGGGTTGCTCTGCTCAGTACGTCCGGGCCAACATCAGATTCAGATCGGCATATCTGACTGTGCTGTGAGTCGAACAAGCTTTTACTGGTGGGGGATCGAAATGAGTACTAAGTACGTTTTTAGCAATGCTACGCGACCGTACATTCGACAAGTCCTAGGTGGCTATGTGTGCCTTACGGCATGCGTGCGTACGCGTATGGAAAGCACTCGAGAACACGCCGCGTGACACAGTGCAGCGCTAGCTGGAAAACGTACACGAAATCACGCGCGGGGGGCGGGGCGTACGCTACGCACCTGGAGCGAACGGCGGAGCGGGCGCGGGGGACCGCGGGAGGCGTGCGACTGGTGCCACGGCGTCTGGCGCCACGCCACCATGCCGTCGCTGCCGGCGCTGATCTTGCAGCCGGACACGACGAGCTCCAGGCACCACAGCTCCGGCTTCTTCTGCCACAGCACGAACCCGCCGATCTCGCCGCCGCAGCCCTTGCTGCCCTTCTTCCCGCCGCGGCGCCCGTTTCCGGTGCCTCCGCCTCCGCCGCCGCCGCCGCCGTGGCCGTCGGCGTCGCTGCTGTTGAGCTCCGCAGCCGTCATCCGCACCTTGCCCATCGCGTACATGCTCTTCACCTTGTTCAGCGCCCACTCCCCGCCCGACGCCGCTATGTACTGCTGCACGATGTACTTGGCGGACGATGACTCCTGGAATCAGCACGAGCACATACATAGATGGATGAATTGATCAGCCGAGATCAGCAACGATCAATAAACCGATGAGAAATGCCGGTCGATCGCGACCGTAATCGTACGTACAATGGGATCGGACTTGAGCTGCTCGCAGAGGACAGAGCAGGGCGACTGCTTGGCATGGTAGACGGGCAGCGGGATGAGCGGCGCGCCGATGACGCCTAGCATGAGCTGCAGCTCCCCGCGGCTCATGGAGCACGGCTCGCCCGCGCCGGATCGGTCGGCGGCGTGCGACCGCATCCACGCCGTGCAGCCGAACCTGGACCCGCGGGAGCCGCCGCGGCCGCCGCCGGAGAACATCTCCTCGGGGATGGGCACCTCGAGCACCGTGTCCAGCGCGTCATCGCGCTCGAGGTTCGGGCAGAGCTTCCTCATCAGACGCGCGGAACAGCTCACTGCCTTCCTCTTCCCCGTTGGTTGTGCCGCGGTGCGGTTGCGGCCGGATGAGAGCTCTTTTCTCGCTGGTGTGGTGTGGTGTGGTGTGGAGCGGTGTGCCCTCAAGGCCTCCGGAGCGCGCGTTATGTGCCTCCCTTCCCAGTCGTCCTGGGCCTCGGGTGGACTTGTACCGGTTTTGATGAGTCGGGCGGGCTGCTGGCAGGTGGGGCCTTTCTTTATTTCGCGACAGGTTTGGTCGTGGCCGCACGCTCACTGCTATACGCCTATACCTGTTAAAAATTGCCGCATCTTATTTTGGTCGAGATTGTGCGTGTGCACATACGACTGCACGTTGCCCTTTTGCGACCCCAAACCTTTTGGTGTGGTGTTGTGTAGTGCTATTGTTCCCACATATCCACTCCCCTTCCGAGAGCGTGCATGGGAGTTTCTGTGGACCCTCTAGCGTGATCATGGGGGTAGGGTAGCTGGCAAAATACCAAATATGCCTTCGTTTGAGTATACTCCAACTAAGAAACATCGATGCATTTGGCCTTGGGTTTAGGCCTTGTCTAGATCACCTCCAAATTCAAAGTTTTTTCACCAACATCATTTTTGGACACATGCTTCGTTTAAATGAGGTATAAAAAAAATTCCAACTTTAGTTGTAGAATGGATCATCGATGCATTTTGTCAATCCTTGCGTTGGTCTAGTTGTTATAGTGATGGTCCATTTTGGACTTAGTAGATACTACTCCTAGATTACTGGTAGATCAGCTCAGAGTTCAGACTTTTGATGCCCAAGTTCTGAGCGAGCGAGCCTACGTACTCTGCGTAATAACTGACAGCTTTTGCCTTTTGGTCAACAACAAGGCAAGATTGACTGACCTGTCCTCAACGGAGCACGAACCATGCCACCGAGCTCTGCGTACGTACTCTGTCTGAACTCTAGACTCGCCAAGAACGGAAGAAGCCGAGACGCACCCACCACACCACAACCACCAACTCCGTTTTGCTTCACTCCCATCCCAGTTCGTTCGTTCGTTCGTGCCCCCACTGCGGCGTACGATCACGCGATCAATCCCGCTGCCATCGTCACGGCCGAGTCCCTTTCCATAACCGGTACGCGGCCTACGTGACTGGTACTACTAGCTTCGAAAGATTTGCAGCTTGTTCACTTGCTCGTAAGCGATCGTAAATTTTCAGTCGGAAACAGTGTTTTTCTCTCATACCAAACTAGCCGGCAGTAAATAATCCACGATACGATACGGCCTCCCGAACAGGCTGTTGGAGGGACGACGAGCACCCGAATCGCTAGCTAGGGGGGCCCGCGTTAGGTGCCGCAATGATCGGCGCTCGATCGCTAGCTATAGGCTATAGCTAGGCCGCCGCCGGTCCTGATGACAGGTGGACGTGACGCAGTTTTCACCGGTCCGGACGCTCTGCTGCCCTAGTGCCCTTGGCCTTCTTGTCTCGCGCGGCGCCGGCGCGGGACAGCGAGGAAGGGTGCGCGGCCGCCACGGGTCTGTTATTGCTACGCTGGTGGTGTATGTTTGCGTCGGCCGCATCGGCCCCCGCACAGTGGGTGCTGCTCCCCCAGCGCGCGCTCGGGGTTTATTGTATTCGCGTTCGTGGGGGTGGGGATTGATCCTGTCGTCTGCGGGCTTCCTCCGACGTGCCAACCAGGTTGCTGCTGCTGCTAGCTGCTAACGGCCATGGCCTCCACCACTCTGTGTCTCTCTCCTAACCATTGTTGCGATCCACATCGACCGCGCGGGCTCCAGGTGTCCGAATCCGGCTTGGCATGGGAGATCCAGGGATCAATCAGACCGATCGATATTCATTCTCGTTTACTGTTTATTTACGATTGGATACGATCCTGTTACAGTACAGCCCGAGTGCAATATTCTAATCAAGTCGTGGGATCGCGGATATTATCGGGAAATCAGCTCATGATTAACACGATCTAGACGCACACCATTGCATATCGGATACGTAATAGCTAGCGATTCAAGAAGGCTGATTCGATGATTGTTTATTGGCCAGATCTTACAGCACGGAGTGCGTGCTGAGCCCTGTCTCTTCCGAGAGCACCGGGCGCTGTCACGATTGGTGAGCCGGGTTTGCAGTTCGCTAGTGCCATCGATCGATCCACCGCTTGCCGCCTGCCTTTGCCATAGTATCATTTTTGCTTTGCTCGACGTGGTATCCCCACCAACCAGGCACCGGGATCTTAAATCCGGTGAGCAGCCCGCGCCTTTCGTGCTATAATAACTAAAATGACAACAACGACGCCACTGTTCGCTAATCTCACGTCAAGGCCCGACATCGCCGGACTCCTCGGACGCCGACGCTTTCACCACCGGCGGGCGGTAACAGACCACACTACTCTTACTGCTCGTTGTGCGCCCACTAGAGGAGAGGAGTGGTGGTGGTTCCGGTGGTCACATCGGCGTGGAAATATTTGGCCGCTTTGCACGTTACCGACAATTCATTCATTGATTCAAAAAAGGGTGCCGAGGACCAATAAACTGAAAATGTTGCGTACAGACGAGACTCCAGGTTTTTTAACGCCACAGGGAAATATAAAGTCAAAAGCGATTGGTTTGGAGGAAGGGGTACAGGGAGTTAGGCAGATGACAGACAGAACGGATATGATCCAGCCGATGGAGATAATACGCCGCCGTAACAGGTCAAACGAAAAAAAAAAACAAAACGCAAACAAAGTTGAATTCTGGAGCGAGCGACTAGCACGTCTCTGCCTGGACAGAATCTGCGTAAGAGGACAAGGTCGCAGCTAGCGCAGACAAGGTCTCACACCCACCCGATTGTACGCTAAGAGCATCGTGAGATGAGCGTCGGCGACGGCGATTCCGATCTGGCATGTTACCAGTACCACCGCGACTGCGACGGCAAGTAGCTCGACACACAACCGGTTCGGTTTGCTGGCTGATTTGTGTCGGAGAAAAATACTATTCTAACTAAAAATTTACGATCGGTTACGACAAGCTAAGCTATAGCCAAACGAACAGGCTGACAGCCGCACAGCGGCACTTAACGGCGCACGCACATGATGCGTTGGACTGGACTACTGGAGCTGCAGCCTGCAGGGGTGTCCGTCCACATCGGTTGCCGAAGAGACGTCAGCGTAGCGGAGCACTGCACTGTTATCCCGCACTGTCCTGGCGCGCACAACCAACTGGATCGGCTCGGCGACCCAATCATCTGTCTGTCTGGTGGCTTGGCTCGGTGGGTGCGCAAAACAAGCGCGCCGCCTACTGCGGTGCGGCGGTAGAAAACACGAGGCGTGCCCGCCGGCGCTTTCGAGCTGTAAAGCGAGGCCATCCGCGTCTGTCGACCCCTCTAATGCGCCGGAAGGAGGAGGATGACCCCTCTAATGGCCGCGTTTTCGCCACGGACATCCACACCACGGCGTGAGTCGGGCACTCGGCATCTTGCAGCAGCGACAGAGTGGATGGGCGTGACATGAGTTGCCGGGGCTCCAAGTCAAAAGAGGGTGTCCCGTCCCATACCGAGCTGGACTGGATATTTCGTTAACCAGGTGAATTTGTGAACCAGGGTTCAGACTTCGGAAGCTCACCAGATCGTTATACGTTCCTGTTACTATGAGCTGCACAATCTGCGGCGGAAATTTGTGCTGAGGGCGACGCGTGCTGGAAAGGAAGGAAATAAGGAACGCGGGGAAACGGCGATTAATTTCTTCGTGCTCTCATCTGCCATCGAGTGGCCATGCCTCTGACTCACTCCACCGAAATTATTGGAAATGGTCGGTCGGTCGTTTATAGAGAAAAGGCAGGACAGGACGGTACTGCGATGCCTCTTTTCAATATTATAATCACGCCTGCGTTAGGGAAATCCGCCGTGCGAGAGTACCAGTTTCGGCAAAAAGGTGTTGGCCCTTGGTTGCCAAGGAAAAAAAGGTGACCGTTGTTCTTGTTTTGCCAAGGAAAAAAAGTCGACCGTTCGTTCCTCGGTTATGGTTTTACCGAATCTGGTCAGCCAGATGCCGGAGGAGAGCAACCGCGTGGCGAAGCTCGTGATGAAGTTGTTTACCGTGTACCTGAGCTGGTGGAGAAATAGCAGTTGGAAGTCTTGTGGTACCATGGACTGATAGGAAGTTCTAAACCTCTAGGCGTAGATCTAGCGGGTACGAACAGTTCGTTGGTGTAGCTTGATAGCTAGTGCGTCCGCATCGACCGGAGATGAAGTGCAGTCGCAGTCCCGACGACGAGGCGAGGTACAGCGTCCCGGTAGTGGCACTGCAGAGGCGACGGCGAAGTCGGTGGAGCTTTTCGTCACTGGCAGCACCCTTCTTATTCGATCGGATTATGGTTTCTCTGTAGGTGGTTACGGCGTCTCAGGTCAACCTCGTAGATAGAGCCCCGGCCCCCACCTCCTTTTATAGTGCTGTGCGATGGGGGCCCACAACCATGGAGCGGTTGGACGCCTCCGATCAGGGCGCTGATAAGGGGGCCAATTGGTGAAGATCAAACTAACATTCTCCCCTTTGATCTCACCTTATTTCTTAAATTTAACCTTACTTACTTTATCTGGTTCCCATTTCATCAGTGCATAGAGCGTGCCTCATCGTCATGGTCTATTGCCATTAGATTAAACAGCTACAACGCACCTCTCTGTTTTGAAACAGATACTCAACTAGGCCCATAGTATCCAGAAATCATAGGCTTTTTCATAAACCCATATCAACTGTGTTTCTCTGAATGCACTGGGTGGTTAGCCTTTAGTAAACGGATCTACAAGTACTTACTCGGTACTTCTGTGCTCAATGCTTTCAAAATGATTCTGGATTTTCTCCCTTACAACATATACCTTAGTGTTAATGTGTTTGGCAGCACACTTGATTTGTTGTCTTAGGAGTTAACTTACTTTAAATGGTTATTGTTGTTGTCTACCATTGTTAAATCCGGGTATATATTCTCTTAACCTCTTTTACCTGTTCCTTAAGCCTCATGACAAGCTAT